GCCCTTATTCAAAATCTACTTTGACCCGGTCCTAGACTGTGTGTAATTCCAACCACCCACAACCAGTGTCAATAGATTTAATAAGGTTGCCCGGTGATGAACAATGTGTGGGAACCATACACGGCAGTTTGTGATTGATGCAATTGTTAATATATACTAATAGGGAATTGAAGAATGGACCGCTGAACCTATTGAACTGTCTCATACTGATTTTATATCATATGCTCTCGATCCAAACTGGCCTTTGAGCTCCTAATAGAGTTTTCCTAGGCTTGTTTGTGAACAGCCTATCTCGAGGAAATTATCCTGAGATGCCTAATTGCAAAGCATATCAGAGTCACTCTGTGAGGGAAATGGGTAGTTTCTAAATGCAATAAATAAACAAACAAACAGATAAAAATATGGTCTGCTACTGAGACAGAGATTTGCTTACGGTGATCAGTATGTGGGGATCCACTCTGCAGGAGCTGTTGTTTTTTTATTTCTGTTTCAGCTAGTGATAATTTGGGTGATGAGCTTGAACTTCTTTGCTAATTGGAAAAGATGACACCTGAGATACTTTTACATCCTTATTATAGTGAACAGGAATTATGAGAACATCCATATTCTGTAAGAAATTATCAAAAATACAGTACTCTGATTAGGCTGGAAGGATTATAAAACGCAGCCTATTAACCTATATTGCAACCAAGTAAATACGGTAATATTCCTAGCGCAGACTATTAATCTATAAGGTTAATAGGCTGCACTAGGAGTATTGCCGTATTTACTTGATTGCACTATAAAAGAAACTGCTACCTTTTATACTCTGCTAATGACGTGTTTAACTTCAACTCTGCGAAGTATCTAAAGCTTCAGTCTATTTTACCAGAGAAACTGACCTTTTTTTTTCTGGAATAAAGAGACCTACCTTTCATCAGGGTTCAATCCAGAGGGCAATGCTCAATTCTGGATCATTCACCTATGAAAAAGACAGGCAATAAATTCAAATTTTTCATTTCCTTCAGGTTTTCTTGACTTGTGAACTATTCAGAAACCTTTTATCATTGTTGCCTTCATCTGAATCCTTTTGAATTTGTTGGTACCTTCATAAAATATTATACTCAAAATTAGACATGGCATGTGCTCTCCCTCTCCAAGGTCTAAGTGGAGCAAAAGAAAGCTCTGTTATTACCTCCCTTACCTTGTATATTGAAAAGCAGCGGTAGAATGGCATCTTTCTCCCCTCCTTTTTTATAGCAGCAACATCAGAATGCTAACTCAGGTTTAAAATGTTCCACGTTAACCCTGTACGTACATACACACACGCAAAACGTTCATTTGTTTCTAAATTTTGTTCATATTCTCCATTGATTGCAATTTCTCCTGAAATTGCAGGTTTGTCTCCAATTTAACTTGTTTCCTAGAACCTACTATGAAGTTGAAATAAGGGCCTGCTACAACATCTGGATTGTCATTTTTCCTCTCAGGGGGGCATCCCTTTGTGGAATAGCCTATCCTCCATGATATTCCAGGTAGCCATGCTGACCTGTCTCTTAAAAACTCACTTTCGACTTTAGCTAAAGTCCAGAATCACATTTGTCCTTTAATAGTTTGTTTTTATTTCCTGTTTTTTTAAATATTATTTATAAAGAACATTCAAAACAGATTTCTGATTCAGGCTTGGTAAATTCAAATTATGATTCCAATAGAAATGAATTTAGACTATTTATTAGCTGTACAAATTACTCTGCTGTTACTATGATGTGTATGTTTACCCATAGCAGTAATCTACCCTGTTTTTATTTCTATTCTGGTTTCTATTCTACATTTTTATTTTATTCTGAATATTTGTATTATTACATTCCATCTTGGGTATATTTTCAAATAGAAGATAGAAATACTTTGTTTACATAATTTATATAAATACATAAATTTACTTTTTGTGAGCATTCTGCTTTATCTCCAACACAGTCTTCTATGCAATTATATATTGTTTTTATTTTGGAGGCTGGTGTCTAAGTAAATGGTCAGCACCTGGCTAATCTCTTTTTTTAATATTTTCTCTGAGCTAAAAAAAAAACCCCACCAGTTTATATTTCAGCTTGGCTAGTTATCCACCTGTCAAAATCACAGGCCAGCAGCAATCTTTTAATTTGCATTTATTATGCATTTTGTATTAAGCTCATAATAAAGGGGAGCAAAATAATTCTTGTACGTGGCGGTATCCTCTTAAGTTTATATATTTCTTTCAAAGCAGATTACATTACTGGACGCTTCAAAAAATTGGGCAAAATTAAATGCTGATACACAAAATCAGATATTCATTCAGAATCAATTAACATTTCATAGATGGATGGTAGTAGTGCATATAAAAAGCAGTGGCAGAGTTTGAAGACTATGGATCTGCTTTAGATTCAAGCCATGGATGCCTTGCCTACGTTACCTGCTCTTTTTCCTGTAACACCAACATCTTTGGAAAATGGTGGTGATTCTTTCCTAGACCTGAAATTTTATAACAGTAAAACATTGTAGGATGAAACAGACACTCTGTTTTCCTAAGCAACTTCTAAATTCTGTAGACCAGAGACAAATTTTACACTGCTTATCTAAGATCAGGTGGAAATGAAGCCAGCTTAAGAAGCCACCCTCCAGATTTCAAAACAGACAATGAAATCAGCCAATACTCTATGCAGACAGTGATAAGCACAATCTCCAATTGTTGAATTCTTAATCCCTCCCATTTGTGCTGAAAAGTAAGCACCAGTAACTTTCCTTTTCTCAGGTAGGTCTTTGAAGACTTGTGGTTCTGATTTGCATGAGCAAACAGCTTCCAACCGACTGTAGATTCATACATTTGGAAGAGGTCTTCAAAGTCATCTAGTCCAACCCCTTTGCACTTTTCAGTGGTCCACCATTGGAGAGGAAAATACCATCTCACTATATGGGACTTCAGCTAGAAGGGTAAATTGGAATCATGGAAGAAAAAAAATCTTAAATCTTCTTCATCTGGAAATCTTCAGGTTCCAATGGAATTAGCTTTGTTCCACTGAAACTAAAATAAAGAGGCCAAGGTAATTTTCCCCCAGTAAATCCCAGAGGGTTTATATAGTTTGTGTTCTTACATTTCTTTCTTTCTCTCTCTCTTTCTCTCTCTCTCTCTCTCTCTCTCTCTCTCTCTCTCTCTCTCTCTCTCTCTCTTTCTTTCTCTCCTTTCTCTTTCTTTTCTCTCTCCTTTCTTTCCCTCTCTCTCCTTTCTTTCTTTCTTTTTTTCTTTCTTTCTTTCTCCTCATACAAGCATTAGGATTCCAACGTGTCCCTCACTATTTCCAGTTTCATTGGTTCTGCTGGGAGCAGGGCGCCATATAAATTGTGATGATTCAAGGCTTTGTGATGTGCATTTGTGTGGAATTTAAAAAGAATACTTGGCAGACAAAGATCTGCAGGTTAGTTTTGTTTCTCCTGGCTCAGGTTAGGAGTAGTTTGTAACCTGGGCTGGCTGAAATGTTTATAGCAAGTGGAAAGGAACCTTGATTAGTGGCTAGCTAAAGCAATGGATTTCTGGAGCTGGTCTACCATCTGCCCCCTTCAGGAAGTAGCTTACTGGAAAAGAATTCATCATTTTCTCTCCCCCCCCCCCAACGCCACAGCATTGTCTCAGTTTTCAGACTTTTCACCTCAGCCAAAATGGAATTACTTTCCCCAGTATCTACAATCTACAAGGCCTTTGCCACAATGTCCTAAGCAAGTTGTTGAAGTTCAACAAGCCAAAGATGTCCTATTTGTAGCCAAAATCTGAGACTGTTAAGCCTATGTCCCCAAGTAAAGAGCTGATTTAAACAAATTATTGCTGGGGAGAAATATCCTATTTAAAGGTATTGTGGTTTTACAATAGGAATTAGTCAGAGATGTTCCCAATTTTTTTTTCAGGTAATCACCACAACGAATGAATTAATAGATGGAATGGCAGAGATCCATATACAATATAAAAGCAACAAGAAGTATATTCTTTGGGTTTTTTTATCTGAGCTTATAGTATTAGAAGACTTGATATCAAAACAATGTACAAATGTCTTTATTTTTCCCCATAGGCAGATTTTAAAAATTATTTTAATATTGGGGCATGTATATAGAGAAGGCATTTTAGCATACTGCATACAGGATCCATTGTGTCACTTTTTTATATATAAAAGCTGTAGGCTTGGATTATGGCTCGCTCTCCACATGTTCCAGCAGCAATAAAGTGAAGCCTTGATTTTATTCTACAGTGTACTTTTTGTGCTGAAGTTTCAAGTAATCTTTGATAATTTCCTTGTTCTGAGTGATTTGCAGGGCTCCGAATATCTCTTTTCATTTAGTGAAACATGTTGTTTGACTTATTCTTGGGCAGTTATTACAGTCTGGCTTGCAGTGTGTGGTTAGTTCTCTAGGGACTCAGTTCACTGTTACTTCTTGGCCTTGGAAAAATAATTTAAGGTTTTTCCACATTTTCTTTGTGTTTGATATTGGGTTGGATGCTTTATTTATAACAGTAGTATGTTACAGCTTAATGGACAGATTTTATAAGTGTAATACTGTAAACCTGATTAAGCATTATCTGCTGTTTGTGCTAAGGATATTGTGCTGTCAGTGTGAGCGTTCGGGCTTTTTTCTTCTTTATTCTGAACTGTTTCAAAGGCAGGCGTTTAAGATTTCAAAACAAATGATAAAAGTATCTTCAAAATCTTTAGCTACATCCTGACCAGAATTGATCAGGTATTTCTTAATAGGCTGTGCAATATTCATCTGAAGGGTAATAGAAATTGATTACTGACTGATTTAGGAATAATCATTTTTTTACAAATCCTTGTCTATGAATTCTCTCTTTTAATATTTTGTATATTCCAGAAGAGCTTTGCTGTCTGTTTTTTTAAGCCTCATCCTAAATAAAAATTCCAGAACTATAGTCAAAGATGTATAATGAGCTTATTAAATATTTCAGCACATACTTTTTTCTGAAGAAAATATTTTCTTTCTTCCAGATGATGTCTATCCTTATGAACACTATAATTTTTGAGGATTGTAGAAATCAGTGGTCTGTATCAAGACCACTCTTGGGTCTCATACTCCTCAATGGAAAAGTAAGTATCCCATAGCTATAAATGGCATATGTCTATTTGCGGACTTAGCACTGGATTCTGCTAAAAGAAACTGAATTCTGCATCCCCTTTTAAGGGAATTTGAATAGAAATGCTCAAAGAGTGTAAACTTGAACTCATGTTGCCCTGTTCTGATTGCAAAAGCTGTTGAATCGATTGCCTTCCTTAAATATGAGATAAATATACATGGTTTGTCTAAGATGAGTATCATGACACTTGGTTTATTTCCACACATACAGAACATCGCAAGACATTGTCTGTATTTTGTAGCTGTTATTTCTATTATTATTGTGATAGCTCACCAAAATTTCCATTATATTAAGAGCTGCTGGGAGAGTGCACAGCCTCATTCGTCTCCAGTAATAGATAATCCATTGGAAAGTTTCAGTCCTAAATTTGAGTGGAAGTCAAATAGGATCTAACTCAGATTGCTTCAATCTAGTGCCTGTTATTATGTAGAATAAAAGAGGGTAATCGACAATTCCGTCAAGAACTCCTAAAGCTGAGATGTTGTATGTTATATTTCCGAACGGTCTTTTTCTTCCACAGTGAGAGAAGAAAAATCCAATAATACAAATCAATGACTTGTGATAAGCAAGAATTAAAAGAGGAACTATATAGATGATTGTTTAGCAGCAATTTGAATTTATTATGACCTGGCTGGAAAGTTTGATCTTCGGGATTGAAAGCATATTTTTCTTAAGAAATTATCATTTGTAATTTGATATCATCCTCTAAAGTAGCAACTTGGCTATCAGCCCATACTTTCAGTTAGTATTATGTTATGGAATTGTGATCCCTGCCATAGTTGATCAGTATTGCAGAATATTTTCTCTTAAATGTTTCATATTGATTATTGAGTAGTTCCGTAAGATTGGAAATGATCTCACATACTCAGAGCAGCCTCCTCATTTACTCTTCTACCTTGCAAATAAGTGTCCTTTCCTTTATCTTTATGGAACAAGCTGGCTCACTGTATACTTAATGTATGCATAAACTTGTTTTGATGTTGGGTATGTATTTGTCTCAAACCTGTGATAGAGTTCATTTTGTTACTGTCCTGGGGATAATTTAAACCAGTGGTGGCGAACCTATGGCACGGGTGCCAGAGGCGGCATTCGGAACCCTTTCTGTGGGCACATGTGCCGTTGCCCCAGCCTTGCCTCCCCCCGTGACTCCCTCCTCACCAGCAGTCCCCCTGGAGGAGAGTCGCCCCTGAGCATGTCCCACGCGGAGCAGCTCAGCCAAGAACATGGCAGCCAGGCAGTGTAGACAAGACTGCCCTCATGACCCATTGCGCATAGTTGATGCTGCGGGGCGCGGGCAGAGGGCGTGGCCACCATGGCGCTGCTAGGCTGCCTGGCCGATCTGTGGCGGACCCTGGAGGCGGTGAGTGGTCCTGCGGGCAGGCAGGGGGTGGAGTGAGGGCGGGGCCAGTTTTTGGGCACTCAATCTCTAAAAGGTTCGCCATCACTGGTTTAGACCCTCCTATGTAATGAGTGTTTTTCAAAATGTTTCATCATGCTCTCCTATATTCAATTAAATCCCTGCACCCTGAGTCTCTCAAAGAAAACAGTTCCCAACAACAATTCTGAAGTTTCCAAGTTACTATTAAAACCTTTGGTTTTTTTCAGTCATTGATATTCTGTCTTGATGACTCCAGCATTTTTCATATCATTGAGTTTTGCAAGGTTTGCATTTGGTGTCTGGACTTCAACCTGAAGTTGGATACCAGAAAGAAACCTGTTTCTTTCAGTACAGTACAATACAATATCAGCTATTCTGCACATGTACAAGCTTGCAGTGGATGCTAAGGGATTGTTTCTGATGATATTGACCTAGAGTGTTCTCCATACTTCAATGCAAGTTCTGACTTTATTCCAAATCTATTTATCTCCTGGGCAGTCACAAGTGGCAGTGCATTACTGCTTTGGAGAATGAATTGTCTATACAATAAGATGGTGCTGGGAAAAAATAAGACACTAAGATTAGCAGCAGCCGCATACATTAAAATTCAAACTGAAATCCCAGCTCTGGTAGGAAACTAATAGAAGAAGAAAATATATCAAGTATAGAAGCGCCGTCTCATCATTCACCTGTGCTGAAGGATCCAATTTTAACCATATCCAATAGCACTGTCATTCATCTTCTTGGTGTATTATTGTGATTTAAATCCAAGCTCCATACGAGAAGCAGTTCTTTTAAAATGATTGAGAGGGAATAAGGGCAAATTCAGTGTTTAGAAAAAGTTTATGACATCACAATATTATCCTTTACAGATGGAAGCAATATTTCCTACTTTGGGAGGAAAACTAATCATTTTCTATCTGCCCTGAGTCACTGCATCATTATAAAAGGTGGAAATAAGTAGTCTTATGCATTCCCAATCTTGTTCTTGGCAACACTTTTGCTTAGCCAATGTCTCTGATTTATAGTATTAAATATTAGCCCGGCTCTATATTAATTATGTGTTTTTGATTTTAGCAGCTTTAGTGTAAGAAGGAATTAAATATTTCACAAGGAAATATAGCTGTGCAATCATGAATAGTAAGAAATATGAGACTAGCATAATTTTCCTTCTTCTGGAACAACATTGCATTCTAATGATCATGGAACTGGTTCGTTGTAAAATGTATCTGCGTGGCATTATTTATCTACAAATCCTGAGCAGATTCTGAGCTTGCCTGGTTTAAGAATGCAGTGTGGGGCTGGAAGATTTTATAAAATCTATTTATTGAAGATATAGGTGACAACCAGCAACAAATATGCTTTGTGCTTGTAACATTCACTGCTACGATTCCTTAAAAAGTCAGCCGTATGGTAATTGGAGCCAATTTATTTCAGTTTCGTTGCAAAATTAGATGCTATTTGGAGATATGTCTTTCTCAAGCCAGTGGCATTTTTGTGGAAGTACATTGCTTGATTTCCTTCTGGAAAATGTGCAGTGACATGGGGGAACTGCAGTAGATTGTGTAATGAACTTTTCCATTTACATTGCTGACTTTAGGTTATGGAAATTTATGTTCAACTGGAGGACACCATGTTGACGATGTCCTTGGTTTTCAGAGTTGTTATTGCTATTACACCACATGTATTAATTTTCAAATTTTCTAATCTAGAAATATTCTAGGATACTATTTCTGGATTCGTATTAGTAAACCATTGCTCTTTTTTTAAACTTAATACTATTACAAGAAGTCATTAATGCCAGGGGATACAATGAAATTATAGAAGTGCTAAAATTTCCTCTGTAGTACAGCAGTCCTCAACCTTTCCAGTTCTGCAGACCCGGGGGGGGGGGGGTTTCACTAACCCGGTACCGGGCCTTGGCCCTGGAGTTAGGCACCCCTGCTGTAGTGGTTTTATTGTTGGGTTGGTACAGAGGAGATTCAGGTTCTGAATCTGCCTTTGGGCCATTCTCTCTTAACTCAAGCTACTGCACATGAGGAATGAGTAAATCTTATATGTGCTTAGATACAAATACATACGGTATCAAATAAAAAGAAGGCTCCGGCTATTCCTATTATTTAACGTGTAATATAAACCATCTTTTAAAATTCTGGCTCTGACTTGGTGTCTTTTGATTTTTGTATGACGTAAATGCAACTAGCACTTTCTGGACTGTGCTCTATTAATCTTGTCCTTTTTGCCCTGTTGGCACTGGGATACAAGGGACCTACATATTTTCTCAAGCTGTTGTTTTAATGTGGCTTAATAGGTGAAAAATATCTGTGTGAATGTCCCAGCGCTGTAAGTTGGATTAAATCATCTTGAGACATCTTCCCGCCATAGAACAGTATCATCTTGAAAGGCAGCGGAAATTAGGCAATCATTCTCCCCAAACTGAACTGCTTTGTAGTCAGAGTTTGACAATCACTGATCCTCTAAATTCAGTCATTTTTATTGTATTATTTCGCCCATTGTCTTGTCAGTACTTCAGTGAATTAAGGGCAAGTTTGATAAACAGCCAGCCTTCTGAAAAGCAAGAGTTCCTTCATCAGTGCTTTAGAAACCTAATGGAAGGAGTCGAGCAAAACCTGCTGGTAAAAAACAGAGACAGGTAAGCCAAACAAATATCTAAAGGTAAAATGATAAAATTTAACATGCATTAACTTTCATTTGGGGGGTTTATACAACATGCGTTAAAAGCTATAAATTCAGGAATATTTTATTATTTATTGCATTTATATTCTTCATTTTCTTGGAAAGCTTAAGGCACTGTCTTGCGGTTTGGGGGCGGGGGGGGATTTCAGGTAGTTTCTTCCACAGAAGACATGCTGTGATGCTGGTTAGCCTGAGAAAGGGCTGCCTGAAGCCATTCCCGTGAGCTTCGTGGACAACTGGGAAATATTTCCTCAAGAGGATATATATTTCTATACTGCTGTTTCTAAAATGGCATTTTAAAGCCCATTTAATACATCTTTATCATTCCTAAAATCCTTGTGAAACCATATACTGTAAATGAATTCAGGAAGGGGGAAAAGGTCTTCAGCGCCTACAAGTGCTCCTCAACTTACAAATGTAATTGAGCCCATAATTACAATTGTAAATTATTGCAGTTGTAAGTCATCATATGACTAGACTTTTCAGCATTATTTTGTGGCAGTCATTAAGCAAATCCATTTACCTAGTGGGCAGGTTTTGCCGGAAGCCAAAAGTAAACCCCGAAACTGGCAAAAAAACATGGTCACATGACTCAGGATGCTGCAAACAGCCATAAAGGTCAGCAATCCTGTGACCATGAGGGGCTGTGGCCATTGTAACTGTAAAATCAGATAATAAGTAGCTTTTAAGGGGTCTGTCATAACTTCAAACAGTTGCAACTCAAGGACTACCTGTACTTAAAAGAATGTAGGCTCCTCAACATTTGGGGTGGGGTGGGGGCTATATTCCAGAGAACTGGCACTACTACCAGCAAGAAGATCTGCCTTCTGAGTAATTGCAAGTTGACATTCTGAGAAAATGTAGCAGAGTCTGCTGATTGACCAGGTCTGTGATAGTGAAAGAAATGAGACAGGTGTTCTCTGAAGCCTTATATATTAAAAACAAAGCCATGGCTTGCCTAAGTAAATCATTGGCAGTCATTGAAGGTGCTTCAGTATGGAAGTACATGGGCATAGTCAGACACCTAGACCAGCTTCATCTTCTGAATGAAACTCAAAGGTTAATCCCATATAGATCAATATAGCATGAGGTTACTAGTACATAAACCTCAGTAAGGCAGATAAGCAGTCCCTATCCACGGAAGATAATAGTTGATATACTAGCCAAATCTGGAAGTAGGTATTCCTGCCTTAAGGTCACCAAGATCTCCTATAACACTCCAGGAGCCAGAATATGACAACTTGCCACAGACAACTCACCACGGACAACTTGCTGTGGAACAATTCATCACAGGACATTTCAACAAATACAAAACTTAAATTAATTTCAACAGAACTATGGCCAATAATAATGAAGTCAATCCAGAAATACAAGAGTTACAATAATTTCGATGAAAACATGGTCACCAATAATAAAAGTAACTGAATGAAATGATTAATACAATGTTGAATTGTCCCACAGTGAATTGGCATATGTGGCAAGTTAGCCTAGACCAGAGGTAGGCAACCTTGGCTCTTTTATGACTCGTGGACTTCAACTCCCAGAATTCCTGAGCCAGCCATGCTGGCTCAGGAATTCTGGGAGTTGAAATCCACGAGTCATAAAAGCCAAGGTTGCCTATCCCTGGCCTAGACCCTCCAGGACCACTCCCAAACTATATAACTTTCCTTTCTAAAGGAATGCAACTATTTAAAATAAGTGGGTTTCCCAATTCCAGTATTCCTCCACCTATAAGATCTCTGTCAGTATCTCATTTCATTGGTCCAGTCACTTTACCTAGAGACTTGATTCAGAACATGGACATCTCTTTTTATTCTACCGGACATGGATGTGGGAAAAACATTACATTTAAAAAAAGTAATCCCCATGTGATTTCTCATTCTTTCATAGTATATATATATATATTATTATTCTGAATGTCTTTAACACTTTTCTATAAAGCAACTTCCCAGAAGTGATATGGCCTATTTTTGCTGTTCTCATAATATTTTAATGCAAGTGATAACATCGAAAAGATTAACCGCATTGGCACTCAGCAGGTAATATAAGAAGTCGCTTATATTATAAGATGAGTGATCATCCGGAAGTAGCTCTCTTTTTGACAAGCAATGTTACTTTGATAAAATATTTTATTCTCTTTCGAAGTTAATTTCCCCCAATCCAGGGCCCTCCAGAAGAACAGTTGAATAATCTTTGACCATTGACCATGGTACCTCAAACATATGAAGGTTGTAGCTCAAAACATCTGGAGACCACCTGGGTGTCCACACCTAGAATAGAATAGAGTAGAGTAGAGAAGAATAGAGAAGAACAGAACAGAATAGAATTCTTATTTGCCCACGTGTGATTGGACACACAAGGAATTTGTCTCTAGTGCATAAGCTCTCAGCGTACATACAAGCAACAAGTGATAAATCATGATCATTATCATAAAATACAATTATAAATCATAAGACACAACACTCAGTGATGGTCTTAGGATACTTAAATAGCCAACATAAATCATAATAGGATATTAATAAAAGCAATCAGCATAAATCATGATATACAAACAACAAAGTTATAGTCATAAGCTAAGGAAATAGGTAATAGGAAAGATGAGAAGGATAATAATAATAGTAATACAGCCCTATTAGGTGGTACAGATATTGAAGTGGTACAGATATTGCCTGGAAAGCTACACTAACATTAAACTGTTGAAAATTTATTTCCCACAGTGTAATAGAGAGTTGATGGCACCAAAGTCTAGTTTTTAGTTATGGAGAGAAAATGTATTAAATACATAAGGAGCAATCATATGAATTCGATTGAATCAGTTTAATTTGAATCTAGGTGTCAGCAAAGATAAGCGTACGCCCAAGAAAGCACATTCTCTCATAACCCTTTTCTGTTATCTCAGTCTTTTAGATCCTGAAATAGAAGTGGTTTGAGGAACAGAAAGAAAATATTTCACCCTTATTGGATCACCAGAAAATTCCGTTTTATGTTGTGCTTTTATTTTGTGAGCCATCTAGGGACCTTGTCCTAGGAAGTAGAATAAAAATATAAATAACACATATTTTCCATTCTTAAAACACTATTAAAACAAAAACTGTAACTCAAACCATGATGCTAAAGGTGTTCAGGAAACAATTGAGATGAGTTTGGCTGGTGTAAAAATATGGTATACTGGGGCCAGTAACTGGTAATTTCTGATCATTTTATAATAGATGCCAAAAAGACATCTGTATTTTTGTTTTTAAGAATTCTATCACTTTTTGTTTGAGGTATCAGATTGTATTGTTATTCTAAATGATTTAACTGGTAAGATATTTTACCTTTTTATAATCTCTTTGGTTACAGGTTCACACAGAATATGTCCATCTTCCGCAGAGATGTGGCTGAAACCTTGCGTTGTGAGGGTGTATCAGAATCAAGCAGTACAGAAATGATGAGCTGATACAAAGCTGGAAATGTGTTTAAATAATAATGAACAAACATTGAAGTTGGGTACCGTTCTATATTGCTGGATAGATTTTGATTTTCATAGAAAATATTTTCTAAAAACTGCCTTTTTATATCTTGGGCATAAATGTAAGGATTTGTAACACTGGGAACAATCTAAAAACAAATGTAACATAAAGAACCATGTTGCATTTCCTTATCCAGACTTCCAACTCTTTTTCTTAGTTACATGGTACAGAAACAGAGGTTAACCAAAGAACAAAATAATATATGTATTTCTCCCCCTTTGAAATGGCAGCTGTTGAGATTTTCAGTTCCAAAATTCAATTAATGCAGTTTCTCAAAATTCCTTTGAAGGGCAGTGATAATATCATCCATTTCTCTCACATTTTTATTCAAGTCTTCGGAATGACTGAAAGCATAATTTTGCAACTAAATGGCTAGGTGTACCCCCCCTTTTTTTCTAAAAAAAAAAAAAAAAGTTAATCGTAAATACACTGTCAATAAGAAAAATATTAACAGAAAGAAAATTTCTTGACCTAAATAAAAATGAAAGTGCTGAAATTGGTACTTTATAAAACTTACAAATGGGAATACATGCTTTAGTAGAATATTAATAAAATGTTGTTTCACACACATGCATCTCAGGTGTTTCATTCTAGGAAAAATGTTGTGTTTTAAATGGTAAAACATTGTATGAACAGGCTGTAAATCATTTGCTACTATAAACAGCCACCCAATAAATGCATAACACTCTTTCCCCCTCAAAAATATTTCATTTGTGTGCCAGAATATGTATTTTTGTATGTTAAGACCTACCCTAGGGAGGTGAACCGAACACATGTAGAACAACTCATATCTCATAATTCAAGAGCTGTAGTATTAATTACTGATGAAATGCCCAAATGGCATGGAAGTGTGATGGCAAAAAAAGGGTTGGCATCAATTGTTTAATCTCAAAAACTGGATTAACACTATTCTTGTATAGCGTTTTATAGAGCCTACTCACATCAGTAGCAAAGCATAGCTTGGAAAACAAGAGAAACGATTTATAGAATGACACAATAATAAGCTGTACGTTATGTGGCAAACAATGCAACTTCCTTTCAGTCATTTAATTAAATTGCTATGGCAGATAGCCTATTTTACTCCATGTAAGTAGAACCTCGGCCTTTCTACATGTTCTTGTATAAAAGATGAATTGCCCTCCAGTAATCCATTCTGGGACTTTTTTTTTTATTTCCAGGAGATCACACCATGTTCCTTGAGAGGGCCATTTTTCTTTTCACCTGAGAAGTTAGCCTTAAGTAAGCAATTCTTATGAAAACATCCCCTCACATTATTAGAGTGTCTGGATTTGATGAATTTGCATGTAGCATAACTTTGCATTTTAAGAAAGTGGCCTTTTTATATCTTATTTTAGATCTTGGGCACCACTTTGCATTTTAAGAAATGTTCCTTTCATTCCACTAATTTGTGCTTTAATAATAATAATANTGAGCTGAGGCCAGTTGGAAAGTCGGGGCGTCGGGAGTGAGGCTGCTTCAGTGTAGACTGAGCGGAGCTCCGTGCTTGAAAGAGCTGAGACGGAAGGCAGCCGGGCCAGGGAGATGCCTGTAAAATGTGCGAGGCAACTGGGCTGAACTCTAGCATTGAGTGTGCAGGGCTCCCTCGACCTCTCCCTGCTTACCCTCGCCTCGCGGCTTCTGCCAGGCGGGCGCCTGATCTGATCACCGCCGTGGAGGCCCCTGAAATGTGGAGGCCCCAGGCGCGCGCCTCCTGCGCCTGTGCGGAAATCCGCCGCTGATTAGGGCTACATTAATTAGGTCTTCTGGCCTCCCTCCTGAAAGAACTGTTGGGAGGGAGCAAGTGAGCTGTTGCTTTGTTTATCCAGCAAGGCAATTGATGCAGTCAAAAATCTTAAAGCACTATTGGGCCTTCAACAAGCACTGAGCAGAGCTGACAGTATGGACTAGAAACAAGAAGCAGCCTATTTCTGGTCTATCCTGCAAGAAGAGCCAAGCAAGATTTCGGTTAACTCTTGGATACAGTGGGTGCGTGCAGGTCTGATAATCAGAAAACTAATAAGTTGTATGTGAAATCTATTCATTTGCTTCTATTTGGTAACTGATAGCCAATTTTTTATAAGAGAACTGTCTAAAAGGAATGTTATTTTACTGGTCAAATTTGTAATACAGAGTGCCCAGAGATTATGGATCTGTTACAGGCAGGGGAAGTTTATTCTCAGGCCTTTTAGTTGCCTGGCATTTGGGCTGTTAATGCTATCTTTTAACTGGTTTGCTCTCTATGACCGCTCTAGTTTTTCCTGTGCTAGTTTCAGGCTTCGCTGCATTTAATTGATTGTTTAATTGTTTGTTTATGTTGCTTTGATTTGACATATTTTATTTGCACTTTTATTGTACACTGCTGTGAGAGCTGTTGGCTATGGAGTAACTAATATATGTTAGACATTAGAAAATAATGGCCTTAAATACGGCCAGTTGAGAAACAAAGGCATTGATAAAATGGGCCGTTGTGTTTTTATTTGGCCATAGGACAAAGCAGAGGGGCTTTATGCTGATGGGAGTTTTGACAAAGAACTGTGGCCAAATGTTTGTCCTTTTTCCCCCACCCTCACCCCCACCCCAGTAGCCACATAGGTCCAATTTCCAGCAACCGTTTTAAATTATTAAAATTTGGAAGTGGGGAGTCTCTTGTCATTGACTTGCATTTGTTGTTTCTCATAGGATCAGACATTGCATGTTTTACATTCTGCACATATAATTTAGATCAGGGGTGTCCAGCATTGCCAACTTTAAAATTTGTGCACTTCAACCCCCAGAATTCCCAACCAGCCATGCTAGGAGTTGAAGTCCACAAGTCTTAAAGTTGTCAAGGCTTGGACACCCCTGATATAGATTCACATTCTTTTACAAGTTGCTGGCAGCCTGACTTAATATGAAAACAGCCTCCTTTGAGTGCCCAGTTTAAATATTTTACAAGTTGTGTTTTGTGATACACTAAACTCTGAGAGGCAAGCTCAGAGAGCTGTATTCTGCCCAGTTCTTGATTTCAGGTGCCAGTTCCCCAAATCAAAGGAGTTTTTCCTTCCTGCTCCTCTGATTACCTCTAGCTGTAATGCATTCCCTCATGAATGTTCATTGGAAAGGCTGAAATGGGAAGGAATTTCTCATTCCTTTGTTATCAGAAGAAAACAGTTTGTGTGAATGTTCACAAATCAGTGAACACAACCTTTTGTTGGTTTCAGTTCTGGATTTAGTGTCTCCCTCATTTAATGTTATTTGCTCAATAAGGCAGTGTTTCTCAACCTTAGCAAATTGAAGCTGGGTGGACTTCAACTCCCAAAATTCCCCAGCCAGCAACTTCCTAAGGCAGGGGTGGGGAAATTATGGCCCTTTTATGACTTGCGGACTTCAACTCCCAGAATTCCTGAGCCAGCCATTGGAATCCATTCCAGTGACTCACAAAACAGATTCCAAGTAACAGTTAATGTGAAATTTGCTAGACGTATTTTGAAGTTTCTCACCCAGTGTTGCAAATTGTGAGGATAGAATAGATGATAGAGAAACAAGTCTGTCTTTAGAAATGGAAATGAGTGTCAGTCTTCTTCCCCTTAGTGCAGCGGTTCTCAACCTATGGGTCGCGACCCCATTTGGGGTCGATCAACCATTTCACGGGGGTTGCCAAGCAAGGCTGTCCGCCATTTTTTCCCCCTTTTCCGGCGGGTGCCTTACCTCCCTTGGGCTGGGCCAGCTGGTGGTCGGCCTGCTCCGTCTCTGCCGCTTGCCAGCTATGCCTCGGCCGGCGCAGGGGGCGGAGCCACACATGTGCGGCGCTCCCGGGCAGGGAAAGTCCTCGACTTATGACCGGTTGGGTAGTCCTCGACTTACGACCGGTTTATTCCTCGACTTACGACCGGTTTAGTCCTCGACTTACGACCGGTTGGGGGTCGCGGCATTAAAAAGGTTGAGAACCACTGCCTTAGTGTATGAATTGATTTCTTCTAGAAGCACTCTTTCCAATACCATGTATCTTCCATAGCTATGAGCCAGGAGGGATATAATGAAGGGAAAGTAATTGTAACAGGGAATTATTGTAAAAGGTAATGAGTATTGGGGCCGTAGTAGTTTCCTCTGATTTGAGCATATCTTGGAACTTTAAATTGCAACAGTAAATTTAACAAACTGGGATTTTCAGTTGGAGAAAAGACACGGTTTGTCCCACTAAACACCTTAGAGCAATAAGATGAAATCAGACATAAGCCACAAAGAGAAATAACAAGAATCTTTTGTTTTGTAGCCTAGGGAATACAGTATTACTTGCCTGTCAAGAAAGGAGAATGTGGAGAATGAGGCAAATCTAGCTGCCTTGGGGAAAACAATTCACATTAATATAGTCTGCTTGCATAACAGTGTTTCAAAGGAATTCAACTCTGGGTCCATATTCAGTTGTAGTATCTTCAACTTGTTAATGTTTCATTGCGGTATGTGTTTATGGTGACAGCAAACCTTTCAAACTATCCAGAAACGCCGTGCTTCCTTGCCATATTAAAAAATAATGGTGGTGTAGATTTTATGTATCTTAGTTTAGATTGCTGTTAAGAGCACCGCTCTGATGATACCCTTTTCAAGGTTTACAGAAAAGTGTAATAAAATATGTAAGTTACATTTCTACAAACTCAAGGCCCATCATATATTTATAAGTGTGAGATCTGAACAGTATCATGATAAATAAACTCTAATGGATATCTGCACCATCCACTCTAATGCAATTTGCCCGACAAAAGTGTTTGAAACAGAGCTCTATTTACTACAGGAGAAAAATATGGCAAGAGACAACATCATTGTACAAGATACAAAGGAAAAGAGAACACAGAAACAAGTTGGCTTGCTGATGGCTAGCTGTTCTTTCATAGAGCTGTACATTGATAGACCTGCAAAGCAGTTTCCCCCTTAAAATAATTTGTTATTGAGATGCTTGATAGAATGAACTAAATTTCAAACTGGCTGCTGCTGCTTCTTATAAGCCCATTGACAAGCTTTGCTACTCTTGATGCTACCCCATGTCTTACTTAATGTGGTGTTGCTAGTTATTTCTACCAAGTAGCAAAACTGTGAGGCACCACTGTCCACCTCTAGCCTAAATAATGTTCTACTGATTGATCTTTCATTGGTCCTGATATTGTTGCCGTTCTGATTGCTAATATAGACAGCATTTGTGGCATGACAAATGAAAACTACGGCAAATTGATGCTTTCAGTTTAAAAAAGAATTACCTATCAGGTCCTCACTTGCTCTTCCAAGCATAGTTTTCCTTATTTTTGCAACTATTAAACCTTGAGCAGAAAGCAACTGATACGGGTGAGGGACACTTAGTCAAATAGGAGTGGTCTATTAATCACTTTCTTGGAGCTGCATTTACTCCACAAATTAATAGGAAAGCCATCTGTCCGGAAGGGATGCAAACCCTGATGTCAGTGCAATCTGACCAGTGAGAGGCCTAAGAGAAACAAGAAGAGATAAGAAAGTCAGGAAAACATAGTGGAAAACAAGAGAAAGGAGAGGTCACATTAAATAATTAACAAGAGAAATTCACCCGAGAAAATAGGATGTATTGTTCTTCTAATCTAAAATCTCAGCCTGCAATAATAGCTTAAAATACTGGAGGTTTTCTCCCATCTTCCCATTTTTGGGATGCAGGAACTGGACAAGCCTTACAAACGACTTACAATTAGC